CTATGGGGTCAATGTAAGTCTATAGGGTCAATGTGAGTCTATAGGGTCAATGTGAGTTTATAGGTTCAATGTAAGTCTATAGGGTCAATGTGAGTCTATAGGGTCAATGTGAGTCTATATGGTCAATGTAAGTCTATGGGGTCAATGTGAGTCTATAGGGTCAATGTAAGTCTATAGGGTCAATGTGAGTCTATAGGGTCAATGTGAGTCTATGGGGTCAATGTAAGTCTATAGGGTCAATGTAAGTCTATAGGGTCAATGTAAGTCTATAGTGTCAATGTGAGTCTATGGGGTCAATGTGAGTCTATAGGGTCAATGTAAGTCTATAGGGTCAATGTAAGTCTATAGGGTCAATGTAAGTCTATAGGGTCAATGTAAGTCTATAGGGTCAATGTAAGTCTATAGGGTCAATGTGAGTCTATATGGTCAATGTGAGTCTATAGGGTCAATGTAAGTCTATAGGGTCAATGTAAGTCTATGGGGTCAGTCTATGGGGTCAAATGTAAGTCTATAGGGTCAATGTGAGTCTATAGGGTCAATATAAGTCTATAGGGTTAATGTAAGTCTATGGGGTCAATGTGAGTCTATAGGGTCAATGTAAGTCTATAAGGTCAATGTGAGTCTATAGGGTCAATGTGAGTCTATGGGGTCAATGTAAGTCTATAGGGTCAATGTGAGTCTATAGGGTCAATGTAAGTCTATAGGGTCAATGTGAGTCTATAGGGTCAATGTAAGTCTATAGGGTCAATGTGAGTCTATGGGGTCAATGTGAGTCTATAGGGTCATTGTAAGTCTATAGGGTCAATGTAAGTCTATAGGGTCAATGTAAGTCTATGGGGTCAATGTGAGTCTATAGGGTCAATGTGAGTCTATAGGGTCAATGTAAGTCTATAAGGTCTATGTAAGTCTATGGGGTCAATGTGAGTCTATAGGGTCAATGTGAGTCTATGGGGTCAGTCTATAGGGTCAATGTGAGTCTATGGGTTCAATGTGAGTCTATAGGGTCAATGTGAGTCTATGGGTTCAATGTGAGTCTATAGGGTCAATGTGAGTCTATAGGGTCAATGCAAGTCTATGGGGGCAATGTGAGTCTATAGGGTCAATGTGAGTCTATGGGGTCAGTCTATAGGGTCAATGTGAGTCTATAGGGTCAATGTAAGTCTATAGGGTCAATGTAAGTCTATGGGGTCAATGTGCGTCTATAGGGTCAATGTGAGTCTATGGGGTCAGTCTATAGGGTCAATGTGAGTCTATGGGGTCAATGTGAGTCTATAGGGTCAATGTGAGTCTATGGGGTCAATTTGAGTCTATAGGGTCAATGTGAGTCTATAGGGTCAATGTAAGTCTATAGGGTCAATGTGAGTCTATGGGGTCAATGTAAGTCTATGGGGTCAATGTGAGTCTATGGGGTCAATGTGAGTCTATGGGGTCAATGTAAGTCTATAGGGTCAATGTAAGTCTATAGGGTCAATGTGAGTCTATAGGGTCAATGTAAGTCTATAGGGTCAATGTGTCTATAGGGTCAATGTGAGTCTATGGGGTCAATGTGAGTCTATAGGGTCAATGTGAGTCTATGGGGTCAATGTGAGTCTATAGGGTCAATGTGAGTCTATGGGGTCAATGTAAGTCTATGGGGTCAATGTAAGTCTATAGGGTCAATGTAAGTCTATAGGGTCAATGTAAGTCTATAGGGTCAATGTGAGTCTATAGGGTCAATGTGAGTCTATAGGGTCAATGTGAGTCTATGGGGTCAATGTTAGTCTATACGGTCAATGTGTCTATAGGGTCAATGTGAGTCTATGGGGTCAATGTGAGTCTATAGGGTCAATGTGAGTCTATGGGGTCAATGTGAGTCTATAGGGTCAATGTAAGTCTATAGGGTCAATGTGAGTCTATGGGGTCAATGTAAGTCTATGGGGTCAATGTAAGTCTATAGGGTCAATGTAAGTCTATAGGGTTAATGTAAGTCTATGGGGTCAATGTGAGTCTATAGGGTCAATGTGAGTCTATGGGGTCAATGTGAGTCTATAGGGTCAATGTGAGTCTATGGGGTCAATGTAAGTCTATAGGGTCAATGTAAGTCTATGGGGTCAATGTGAGTCTATAGGGTCAATGTAAGTCTATGGGGTCAATGTGAGTCTGTAGGGTCAATGTGAGTCTATGGGGTCAGTCTATAGGGTCAATGTGAGTCTATGGGGTCAATGTGAGTCTATAGGGTCAATGTGAGTCTATGGGGTCAATGTGAGTCTATAGGGTCAATGTAAGTCTATAGGGTCAATGTAAGTCTATAGGGTCAATGTGAGTCTATAGGGTCAATGTAAGTCTATAGGGTCAATGTAAGTCTATGGGGTCAATGTGAGTCTATAGGGTCAATGTGAGTCTATGGGGTCAATGTGAGTCTATAGGGTCAATGTGAGTCTATGGGGTCAATGTAAGTCTATAGGGTAAATGTAAGTCTATGGGGTCAATGTGAGTCTATAGGGTCAATGTAAGTCTATGGGGTCAATGTGAGTCTGTAGGGTCAATGTGAGTCTATGGGATCAGTCTATAGGGTCAATGTGAGTCTATGGGGTCAATGTGAGTCTATAGCGTCAATGTGAGTCTATGGGGTCAATGTGAGTCGATAGGGTCAATGTAAGTCTATAGGGTCAATGTAAGTCTATAGGGTCAATGTGAGTCTATGGGGTCAGTCTATAGGGTCAATGTGAGTCTATGGGGTCAATGTGAGTCTATAGGGTCAATGTGAGTCTATGGGGTCAATGTGAGTCTATAGGGTCAATGTAAGTCTATGGGGTCAATGTGAGTCTATAGGGTCAATGTGAGTCTATAGGGTCAATGTAAGTCTATGGGGTCAATGTGAGTCTATGGGGTCAATGTGAGTCTATGGGGTCAATGTTTAAACCTGTGAAGGGGTCTTGGTTTGCGCAGAGGTGTGTGAAGAGGTGCGATTGTGAAGTACATTACATACGCATGCTACGTACGTATGCACTTACACACGTACACACGCTACGTACGCATTCTACGTGTGCACGTACACACGCCACGCACGCTACACATGTACACGCACGTACGCTACACATGTACACGCTACACATGTACACGCCACACGTGTACACGCCACACGTGTACACGCCACACGTGTACACGCCGCACGTGTACACGCCGCACGTGTACACGCCACGTGCGGCCACTCGAGCGTCCGTTGCATCCCGACAGTCGTCTGTGCGTGTTTAGAATCGTGACAACTTTAAAAAAATTAAAGATTGTTCCACCCCTCCCTCCCTCTCCACCCCGCCCCTCCACCCCTCCCCTCCACCCCCCTCCGCCCCGCCCCTCTCCACCCCCTCTCCGCCCCGCCCCTCTCCGCCCCCGTCTCCCAACGTGTGGTGGCTGCTTCTCTCTCCCCGGCCCCGCCTGAACCCCCCACCCACACACCCGGCCGGCCTCCCTCAACGTAGTGCAAACGGGGGGGGGGGTGGCTGAGGGCACGTGACGTCCGCTACGTCACAGTGTCCTCCCTCCTCACTCCAGATTGGTCGCCGCAAGTCACCTGATCGATTCCCTCGTCTCCTCCCTCCACCAATAGGCACTCCTCGTCGTCGTCGTCACACCTTGTGCAAATAATCCTCGATTCCGATTGGTCGCTTGCAACCGATTGAGTTTCTAACGAGCTCGGCATTTCGCCGCCACGGCAACCTCGTCCTCACCGCCACGGCAACCTCGTCCTCACCGCCACGGCAACCACGTCGTCACCGCCACGGCAACCACGTCGTCATTGCCACGGCAACCACGTCGTCATCGCCACGGCAACCTCGTCCTCACCGCCACGGCAACCACCTCCTCACCGCCACGGCAACCTCGTCCTCACCGCCACGGCAACCTCGTCCTCACCGCCACGGCAACCACGTCGTCATCGCCACGGCAACCACGTCGTCATCGCCACGGCAACTTCGTCACCGCCGCCACGGCAACCTCGTCCTCATCGCCACGGCAACCTCGTCGTCCTCACCGCCACCACGACAACCGCGCCGTCGTCGCCTCGGCAACCGCGTCGTCGTCGCCTCGGCAACCGCGTCGTCGTCGCCACGGCAACCGCGTCGTCGTCGCCACGGCAACCGCATCGTCGTCGCCAATGGCAGCGGTTTGGAGGCCGTTTGCGGTTCCAATGTAAATGTGCAGTCTGTGGGCGCTACCACCCCCCTCAGGCCAAACGCCGTCAATCACCACCACCACACCACCACCATCACCACCACCACCACCATCACCACCACCATCACCACCACCACCACACCACCACCACCACCACCACACCACCACCACCATCACCACCACCATCACCACCACCACCACCACACCACCACCACACCACCCCGGCACCCGTGAACATGAAGCCCTTTTACACTTTGTACTCGTACACTTGAAGAAAAAATAAACAAAATAAAGCTAACCGTGCACCGTCCACGCCCACCGCCAAACCGGACATCTTTGATTCCATCTCCACTTGGGAGGTCCCCCCCCACTCCCTCCCCCCCCCTCTCTCTCTGTGTGCACGCAAGAGAGAGGCGGAGTGATCCCGTGACCCTGTGGGCACGGTGACCCCCTGCGGGAGCCACAAAGACTCCTCTCTGGCATGCGCGACGATGCCCCGCGGCCTGCTCTCGAATCTCTCTTCCTCATCGCCACCCCCCCCCTCGCCACGTCGGCGGTAAATCCACCCCCCACCGTCGCGGCTGGCCGCCGGGCCACAATCCTCTCGCTGCACCGGCGCCGGTCCACCAACCCCACAAAGCCGCCACTAGCTCCACCCTGGAGTCTCCGTGGGGGGTTGGAGGGCAAGCGGATACCGGGGGTGGTTGCGTGGGTTGGCTGGGGCCTCACGGGGGGCCTCCTTCTCTGCCTGCCCAGCGGCCCCCGCGCTGGCGCAGCCGGCGGGGGCTGAGGGAGGGGCCGTCCCTCTCCCTGGCGTTTGGGCTCCCGGGGTGGGCGGGGGGTCGCCCAGGCTACCGGTAGCCGGCACCGGTCGCCGGCACCGGTAGCTTGTGGTGCCGGAGGTCCCGGCGCCGGTCGCTGGAGGTGCCGGTGCCCCCCTGTGGCTGGCCGTGCCGGAGCCCCCGGTCGCTGGCACCGGTCGCTGGCGGAGCTCCCGGTCGCTGGCGGAGCCCCCGGTCGCTGGCGGAGCTCCCGGTCGCTGGCGGAGCTCCCGGTCGCTGGTGGAGCTCCCGGTCGCTGGTGGAGCCCCCGGTCGCTGGCACCGGTCCCTGGCCGTGCCGGAGTCCCCCGGTTGGTCGCGTGGCAGAAGAGCCGGGCCGGTGGTTGGGGGGAGCGAGCGGGGAGCTGCCACCGGCACCGCCGCCGCCGCCGCCGCGACTGATGATCTCCAAAAGTGCCGACGGTAAAGTTTGGGCGCTGACGGCCCGATCTTCGTAGCCAGAATAGTTTTTATATTTTTTTGCAGATTTTTATTGTCGTATATATTTAATATTTACTCTTGTTGCGCTTATTAATTAATTCATTCATTGAATGATCTGTTGGGAGGCGGGAGGGAGGGGGGTACATGAGACGGAGGTTACAGAGACATCAACGCGTGGTTCACAACCACAGAGATGAGGGTACGCTTTGGTTCTATTGGGTAAAGTCACGTAGTAGGTAAAAAAATAAAATAACAAAAATCATGACGTTTCGGCCAAAACACAAGCGGCCTTCATCAGGTGAAGGGACGAGACTGTCTGGAGGACAGTGCTGGAGTGAGAGAAGCCACGCTCAGATCGCGACCTTTAAGCTGTGTGAGAAGAAACAAAGCGCCTTGACAAAGGAATTAGCATAGAATTTAGCATTGAAATGGCTGAGTGATTAGCTTGTAACTGGTCACAGAAATAGCTATGTTAAAGTCAGAGCATATACATCCGCAGAGGCACCTAGTACTCATCAAACAGGAGAATTTAGCGAAACACAACCACGCTCAGACAGCGGACCTTTAAACTGTGTGCGAGCAAACAAGGTGTTCTGACAAAGAAATTAGCATAAAAATTAGCATTTGATTTGCGGATTTTAGGAAAGAGGTGGTGTACGTGCCGGTGGACTTGCAGTTTGGCGCGGGGGGGGGGGGAGGGGGAGTTTACCCATTGATGGTGTGAAAAGGGAATTTATAAGAGCTGCGAAAGTTTGGGGTACCACTACTTGAAAAAATATACTGTACCACTGAAATTAGTTTAATGTTTAGTTCGATTTAGAACATCTTTCCAATGGTTGCTTAATTTGAAACCATCTTCTCGGTTGAAATTGTGTCTGTGTTTGTAGATCTGAATTGCCTCGTGAACAAATCTCTGATAAAAACCCGTGGGTTTGCAAAGAACCTTGGTATCGGAGAAAATTATATCGTGATCACCCACAGGGTTGTAACAGTGATCAGCCACGGCAGAAGAATTCGTTTTACCGTGTTTCCAATCTGATTTGTGCTCGCGAATTCGGTCAGAGACATGTCGCTTTGTCTCCCCAATATAGCAATCACCGCAGGTACAACTCAATTTGTAAACCCCGGGGTACTGTAAGTCAGGAATGACATCCTTCACGGATGGGATCAGATCACGAATTTTGTGTACTGTATTGAACCGGACCTGGATCTTGTGTTTGTTTAGAATTTTGGAAATCTTTTTAGTAACGCCTGCTATATATGGAAGTGTGATGGTTTTGACCGGAGTATCAGGTGGTTGTTTCTGTATGGAGGGAGAGACAGCTTGGCGGATGGCACGGTCAGAGTAACCATTCCTTTTGAGGGCCAGGTGTACATGTTTTAATTCACTGGTCAGGTGGTGTTGGTCCAAAATGCAATGAGCCCTATGGTATAAAGTTTTGATGAGAGAATTCTTTTGGGCTGGGTGGTGGTGGGAATCAGGTTTCAAGTAGGAATCTGTGTGGGTGGGTTTCCTGTAGACAGAATGCCCCAATGAGCCATCAGATCTACTCTCAAACAGAACATCTAAGAATGGTAGCTTGCCATCTTTCTCCACTTCCATGGTGAATTTGATGGCGGGATGTCTGGAATTGATGTGGTGTAGGAAAAGGTTCAGACGCCATCCAGACTTCCACCCTCAGACCTTCCCTGTGGAAGAGATATGTGGATGACACTTTCGTCATTTGGCCACATGGCCTCCCAGCTTAAAGGTCCGTGGTCTGGGCGTGGTTGTGTTTCGCTAAATTCTCCTGTTTGATTTGTACTAGGTGCCTCGGTGAATGTATATGCTCTGACTTTAACATAGCTATTTCTGTGACCAGTTACAAGCTAATCACTCAGCTATTTCAATGCTAAATTCTATGCTAATTCCTTTGTCAAGGGGTGCCTCTGCGGATGTGTATACTTTAACTTAGCTATTTCAATGCTAAATTCTATGCTAATTCCTTTGTCAAGGGGTGCCTCTGCGGATGTGTATACTTTAACTTAGCTATTTCAATGCTAAATTCTATGCTAATTCCTTTGTCAAGGGGTGCCTCTGCGGATGTGTATACTTTAACTTAGCTATTTCAATGCTAAATTCTATGCTAATTCCTTTGTCAAGGGGTGCCTTTGCGGATGTGTATGCTTTAACTTTAACATAGCCATTTCTGTGACCAGTCACAAGCTAATCACTCAGTCATTTCAATGCTAAATTCTATGCTAATTCCTTTGTCAAGGCGCTTTGTTTCTTCTCACACAGCTTAAAGGTCGTGATCTGAGCGTGGCTTTTTTCACTCCAGGGCTGTCCTCCAGACAGTCTCGTCCCTTCACCTGATGAAGGCCGCTTGTGTTGTGGCCGAAACGTCGTGATTTTTGTTATTTTATTTTTTACCTACGTGACTTTACCCAATAGAACCAAAGAGTATGGATCCTTGCAGTCACGAAAGCTTTAAATCTAGAAGAGATGAGGGTGTTCACAATGGCCGGGTCAGAGACACTGAGAGTCTGGGTTCGAGCCCTGGGTCTGGGTGTCTCTCTCTCTCTGTGTCTCTCTCTCTGTGTATCTCTCTGTGTCTCTCTCTGTGTGTCTCTCTCTCTCTCTGTGTCTCTCTCTCTCAGGGTGTTCACAATGGCCGTGTCGGCTGGGATGCTGGGTTCGAGCCCTGGGTCTGGGTGTCTCTCTCTGTGTCTCTCTCTCTGTGTCTCTCTCTCAGGGTGTTCACAATGGCCGTGTCGGCTGGGATGCTGGGTTCGAGCCCTGGGTCTGGGTGTCTCTCTCTCTCTCTGTGTCTCTCTCTCTGTGTCTCTCTCTCTGTCTCTCTCTCAGGGTGTTCACAATGGCCGTGTCGGCTGGGATGCTTGGTTCGAGCCCTGGGTCTGGGTGTCTCTCTCTGTGTCTCTCTCTCTGTGTCTCTCTCTCTGTGTCTCTCTCAGGGTGTTCACAATGGCCGTGTCGGCTGGGATGCTGGGTTCGAGCCCTGGGTCTGGGTGTCTCTCTCTGTGTCTCTCTCTGTGTCTCTCTCTGTGTGTCTCTCTCTCTGTGTCTCTCTCTGTCTCTCTCTGTGTGTCTCTCTCTCTCTGTCTCTCTCTCTCTGTGTGTCTCTCTCTCTGTGTCTCTCTCTCTCTTTGTCTCTCTCTCTGTGTCTCTCTCAGGGTGTTCACAATGGCCGTGTCGGCTGGGATGCTGGGTTCGAGCCCTGGGTCTGGGTGTCTCTCTCTGTGTCTCTCTCTGTGTGTGTCTCTCTCTCTGCGTCTCTCTCTCAGGGTGTTCACAATGGCCGTGTCGGCTGGGATGCTGGGTTCGAGCCCTGGGTCTGGGTGTCTCTCTTTGTGTCTCTCTGTGTCTCTCTCTGTGTCTCTATCTCAGGGTGTTCACAATGGCCGTGTCGGCTGGGATGCTGTGTTCGAGCCCTGGGTCTGGGTGTCTCTCTCTGTGTCTCTCTCTCTCTGTCTCTCTCTCTCTCTGTGTCTCTCTCTGTGACTCTCTCTGTCTCTCTCTGTGTCTCTCTCTCTCTCTCTCTGTGTCTCTCTCTCTGTGTCTCTCTCTCTGTGTCTCTCTCTAAGGGTGTTCACAATGGCTGTGTCGGCTGGGATGCTGGGTTCGAGCCCTGGGTCTGGGTGTCTCTCTCTGTGTCTCTCTCTCTGTGTCTCTCTCTCTGTGTCTCTCTCTCTCTCAGGGTGTTCACAATGGCCGTGTCGGCTGGGATGCTGGGTTCGAGCCCTGGGTCTGGGTGTCTCTCTCTGTGTCTCTCTCTCTGTCTCTCTCTCAGGGTGTTCACAATGGCCGTGTCGGCTGGGATGCTGGGTTCGAGCCCTGGGTCTGGGTGTCTCTCTCTGTGTCTCTCTCTCTGTGTCTCTCTCTCTGTCTCTCTCTCAGGGTGTTCACAATGGCCATGTCGGCTGGGATGCTGGGTTCGAGCCCTGGGTCTGGGTGTCTCTCTCTGTATCTCTCTCTGTGTCTCTCTCTCTCTGTGTGTCTCTCTCAGGGTGTTCACAATGGCCGTGTCGGCTGGGATGCTGGGTTCGAGCCCTGGGTCTGGGTGTCAGATGAGACGATGGTTCTGTTTTGGATGAGTTAATGAATCAGCGGCAACACTCCTAGCGGCCGTGGTGCTGCAAGCGGCTGTTCACTACCTCGCCTGGCCTACAGGAGGTCGTGGGTTCAATCCCGACCCCTGACGCCTGCTGCTGCTGCTGTATTTTTAGAATCTGCGTGTCTCTCTCATCATCATCACGGTGGCTGTGAGAAGTTAACTACCTCGCCTGGCCTACAGGAGGTCGTGGGTTCAATCCCGACCCCTGACGCCTGCTGCTGCTGCTGTATTTTTGGATTCTCTCTCCCCTCCACAATGTCGAATCGCTGTCACGACGCGTTTCAAGGGTAGTTGCCTCCCGCTATGAATGTCCACGCGACCATCAGCCGCTCCGCTGAGCTGCTGCCAATTTGCCACGGCCCAGGGTCGATCCTAGCGACGTAGACGCTCGGCATTGGGCCCTGATTTGACCTGTAAAATAAGAAAACATGTCCACGTGGTGTGGATGTTTGTGGTGAAGGGGTGGTTGCCTTAACCTGGTTGGCCGTTGCCATGAAGGGCACGGTGCTGGGCGACGTGGTTGTCGTGGAGATGGAGGCAGGCGTGCCAGCGTGCATCATGGGAACTGTGACATCATCATCATCATCATCGTCGTCAGCGTCGTCACAGTCGCCATCACCACCACCACCATCATCATCATCAAAGTTATTCTTGCATTTATACAAATTTCATCTGCAGTAAAATTACAGTCTCCCCGAGTCTCACCCCAGACTCTGACCCTGAGACCCGGTCCCCTTATAGCCGCGAGACGTACCAATGTTCCCACTCCCGGGGGCCATGCAGAAGATTGATGCTGAAGGACCATTCCAAGTGGGAGAGAGACACGGGGGGGGGGGGGGGGGGGGAGACAGGTAACGAATCTCAGTGGATTGTGGGTGAGGTTACGCAACAACGATCTGGCCAAGTCCGTGTCATTAACAGCCCTCCACCACCCAGCGCAGGCAAATCAATTAAGATCGCCGCGTGTTTACAAACTGTGATCATGTCAGCGACTATCCCAGCCGTATTTCAGCATCTCTCACTCGCTCGCCCATCCACCCACTCACCCACCCACTCACCCACTCACCCACCCACCCACCCACTCACCCACCCACCCACCCACTCACCCACCCACCCACCCACTCACCCACCCACTCACCCACCCACTCACCCACCCACTCACCCACCCACCCACCCACTCACCCACCCACTCACCCACTCACCCACCCACCCACCCACTCACCCACCCACCCACCCACTCACCCACCCACCCACCCACTCACCTACCCACCCACTCACCCACCACGCCACCCACCCCCCCACCCACCCACCCCCCCACCACGCCACCCACCCCCCCACCACGCCACCCACCCCCCCCCACCCACCCCCCCACCACCCCCCCACCACGCCACCCACCCACCACCCCCCCACCACGCCACCCACCCACCACCCCCCCACCACGCCACCCACCCACCACCCCCCCACCACGCCACGGGGTTCCGCTACCTGGGTGCAGGAACGCCGCCTGCTGGGGGACGACGGCATAGCCAGCCAGAGCCTGGGGACAACACCACGTGACACCACGTGACACCACGTGACACTCACCACGTGACACTCACCACGTGACACTCACCGTGACATGTGACACTCACCACGTGACACTCACCACGTGACACTCACCATGTGACACTCACCACGTGACACTCACCGTGACACTCACCACGTGACACTCACCGTGACACTCACCGTGCCACTCACCGTGACACTCACCACGTGACACTCACTGTGACACTCACCACGTGACACTCACTGTGACACTCACCGTGACACTCACCACGTGACACTCACCACGTGACACTCACCACGTGCCACTCACCGTGACACTCACCGTGACACTCACCACGTGACACTCACCACGTGACACTCACCACGACACTCACCACGTGACACTCACTGTGACACTCACCACGTGACACTCACCGTGACACTCACCGTGACACTCACCACGTGACACTCACCGTGACACTCACCACGTGACACTCACCGCGCCACTCACCACGACACTCACTGTGACACTCACCACGTGACACTCACCACGTGACACTCACCACGACACTCACCACGTGACACTCACTGTGACACTCACCACGTGACACTCACCACGTGGCACTCACCACGACACTCACCACGACACTCACTGTGACACTCACTGTGACACTCACCACGTGACACTCACCACGTGACACTCACCACGTGACACCGTGACACTCACCACGTGACACTCACCACGTGACACTCACCACGACACTCACTGTGACACTCACTGTGACACTCACCACGTGACACTCACCACGTGACACTCACCACGTGACACTCACCACGTGACACCGCACGTCAATCCCGCACTCCCCCCACCCCCACTCTCCCACTCCCCACCCACCATAGCAGTGACAGCAGCTGCCGCCTGCTGCTGCTGCTGCTGGTGGTGGTGGTGGTGTAGGAGCTGCTGCTGCTGCTGCTGGTGGTGGTTGTGGCCAGCAGCGAAGAGGAAGTGCTGCTGCTGCTGCTGCTGTTGCTGCTGCTGCTGCTGCTGCGCCGCCTTGAGCCTGGCCTGCAGGTGAGGCGGCGGGTGGAAGTAGCGGCAGCGCTCCCTGCAGCACCGGCCCCTCACGTGGTCCATGCACACCGTCACCGCACCGCCACCGGCACCGGCACCGCCGCAGGAGGAGGAGGAGGAGGGGTCGGCAGGGGCCGCCGTGCCGCTCTCGGCAGCCGGGTGAGCAAAGCGGCACTCCGACTCACCCCGGCAGCAGCTGCCACGCAGGAACTCGCGGCACACCTGGGCCAGGGGAGCCGGGGAGAGGGGGGGGTGAGGAGGTGAGGAGGTGAGGAGGTGAGGAGGGTGAGGAGGGTGAGGAGGTGAGGAGGTGTTGACCACCCCGCCTGGTATACACGGGAGGCCGTGGGTTCAATCCCGAGCCTGACCAGGCCTGCTGCTGTATCTTTTAAATCTCTCGTCGTCATCATCGTCGTCGTCGTCATCATCGCAGCGGCGAGATGTTCACTACCTCGGACTTCGTCACACGCCACCCTGGTGGGTCACATGGCCCCTGGGTCACATGGTCCCTGGGTCACATGGCCCCTGGGTCACATGGCCCCTTGGTCACATGGCCCCTTGGTCACATGGTCCCTGGGTCACATGGCCCCTTGGTCACATGGCCCCTTGGTCACATGGACCCTGAGTCACATGGCCCCTGGGTCACATGGCCCGTTGGTCACATGGCCCCTTGGTCACATGGTCCCTGGGTCACATGGCCCCTGGGTCACATGGCCCCTGGGTCACATGGCCCCTTGGTCACATGGTCCCTGGGTCACATGGCCCCTGGGTCACATGGCCCCTGGATCACATGGCCCGTTGGTCACATGGCCCCTTGGTCACATGGTCCCTGGGTCACATGGCCCCTTGGTCACATGTCCCCTTGGTCACATGGCCCCTGGGTCACATGGCCCCTGGGTCACATGGCCCCTGGATCACATGGCCCGTTGGTCACATGGCCCCTTGGTCACATGGTCCCTGGGTCACATGGCCCCTTGGTCACATGTCCCCTTGGTCACATGGTCCCTGGGTCACATGACCCCTTGGTCACATGGCCCCTGGGTCACATGGCCCCTGGATCACATGGCCCGTTGGGTCACATGGCCCCTGGGTCACATGGCCCCTGGGTCACATGGCCCCTGGGTCACATGGCCCCTGGGTCACATGGCCCCTGGATCACATGGCCCGTTGGTCACATGGCCCCTGGGTCACATGGCCCCTGGATCACATGGCCCGTTGGTCACATGGCCCCTGGGTCACATGGACCCTGGGTCACATGGCCCGTTGGTCACATGGCCCCTTGGTCACATGGTCCCTGGGTCACATGGCCCCTGGGTCACATGGCCCCTGGGTCACATGGCCCGTTGGTCACATGGCCCCTTGGTCACATGGTCCCTGGGTCACATGGCCTCTGGGTCACATGGCCCCTTGGTCACATGGTCCCTGGGTCACATGGCCCCTGGGTCACATGGCCCCTGGGTCACATGGCCCGTTGGTCACATGGCCCCTTGGTCACATGGTCCCTGGGTCACATGGCCCCTGGGTCACATGGCCCCTGGGTCACATGGCCCCTGGATCACATGGCCCCTTGGTCACATGGCCCCTTGGTCACATGGCCCCTGGGTCACATGGCCCCTGGGTCACATGGCCCGTTGGTCACATGGCCCCTTGGTCACATGGTCCCTGGGTCACATGGCCCCTTGGTCACATGTCCCCTTGGTCACATGGTCCCTGGGTCACATGGCCCCTTGGTCACATGGCCCCTGGGTCACATGGCCCCTGGATCACATGGCCCGTTGGGTCACATGGCCCCTGGGTCACATGGCCCCTGGGTCACATGGCCCGTTGGTCACATGGCCCCTTGGTCACATGGCCCCTGGGTCACATGGCCCGTTGGTCACATGGCCCCTTGGTCACATGGTCCCTGGGTCACATGGCCCCTGGGTCACATGGCCCCTGGGTCACATGGCCCGTTGGTCACATGGCCCCTTGGTCACATGGTCCCTGGGTCACATGGCCCCTGGGTCACATGGCCCCTGGGTCACATGGCCCCTGGATCACATGGCCCGTTGGTCACATGGCCCCTTGGTCACATGGTCCCTGGGTCACATGGCCCCTTGGTCACATGGCCCCTTGGTCACATGGACCCTGAGTCACATGGCCCCTGGGTCACATGGCCCGTTGGTCACATGGCCCCTTGGTCACATGGTCCCTGGGTCACATGGCCCCTGGGTCACATGGCCCGTTGGTCACATGGCCCCTTGGTCACATGGTCCCTGGGTCACATGGCCCCTGGGTCACATGGCCCCTGGATCACATGGCCCGTTGGTCACATGGCCCCTTGGTCACATGGCCCCTGGGTCACATGGCCCCTTGGTCACATGTCCCCTTGGTCACATGGCCCCTGGGTCACATGGCCCCTGGATCACATGGCCCGTTGGTCACATGGCCCCTTGGTCACATGGTCCCTGGGTCACATGGCCCCTTGGTCACATGTCCCCTTGGTCACATGGTCCCTGGGTCACATGACCCCTTGGTCACATGGCCCCTGGATCACATGGCCCCTGGATCACATGGCCCGTTGGGTCACATGGCCCCTGGGTCACATGGCCCCTGGGTCACATGGCCCCTGGGTCACATGGCCCCTGGGTCACATGGCCCCTGGATCACATGGCCCGTTGGTCACATGGCCCCTGGGTCACATGGCCCCTGGATCACATGGCCCGTTGGTCACATGGCCCCTGGGTCACATGGACCCTGGGTCACATGGCCCGTTGGTCACATGTCCCCTTGGTCACATGGTCCCTGGGTCACATGGCCCCTGGGTCACATGGCCCCTGGGTCACATGGCCCGTTGGTCACATGGCCCCTTGGTCACATGGTCCCTGGGTCACATGGCCCTCTGGGTCACATGGCCCCTTGGTCACATGGTCCCTGGGTCACATGGCCCCTGGGTCACATGGCCCCTGGGTCACATGGCCCGTTGGTCACATGGCCCCTTGGTCACATGGTCCCTGGGTCACATGGCCCCTGGGTCACATGGCCCCTGGGTCACATGGCCCCTGGATCACATGGCCCCTTGGTCACATGGCCCCTTGGTCACATGGCCCCTGGGTCACATGGCCCCTGGATCACATGGCCCGTTGGTCACATGGCCCCTTGGTCACATGGTCCCTGGGTCACATGGCCCCTTGGTCACATGTCCCCTTGGTCACATGGTCCCTGGGTCACATGGCCCCTTGGTCACATGGCCCCTGGGTCACATGGCCCCTGGATCACATGGCCCGTTGGGTCACATGGCCCCTGGGTCACATGGCCCCTGGGTCACATGGCCCCTGGGTCACATGGCCCCTGGATCACATGGCCCGTTGGTCACATGGCCCCTGGGTCACATGGACCCTGGGTCACATGGCCCATTGGTCACATGGCCCCTTGGTCACATGGTCCCTGGGTCACATGGCCCCTGGGTCACATGGCCCCTGGGTCACATGGCCCGTTGGTCACATGGCCCCTTGGTCACATGGCCCCTGGGTTACATGGCCCCTGGGTCACATGGCCCCTGGGTCACATGGCCCCTGGATCACATGGCCCGTTGGTCACATGGCCCCTTGGTCACATGGTCCCTGGGTCACATGGCCCCTTGGTCACATGTCCCCTTGGTCACATGGCCCCTGGGTCACATGGCCCCTGGATCACATGGCCCGTTGGTCACATGGCCCCTTGGTCACATGGTCCCTGGGTCACATGGCCCCTTGGTCACATGTCCCCTTGGTCACATGGTCCCTGGGTCACATGGCCCCTGGGTCACATGGCCCCTGGGTCACATGGCCCCTGGGTCACATGGCCCCTGGATCACATGGCCCGTTGGTCACATGGCCCCTGGGTCACATGGCCCCTGGATCACATGGCCCGTTGGTCACATGACCCCTGGGTCACATGGCCCGTTGGTCACATGGCCCCTGGGTCACATGGCCCGTGGGTCACATGGCCCCTGGATCACATGGCCCGTTGGTCACATGGCCCCTTGGTCACATGGTCCCTGGGTCACATGGCCCCTTGGTCACATGTCCCCTTGGTCACATGGCCCCTGGGTCACATGGCCCCTGGATCACATGGCCCGTTGGTCACATGGCCCCTTGGTCACATGGTCCCTGGGTCACATGGCCCCTTGGTCACATGGCCCCTTGGTCACATGGCCCCTGGGTCACATGGCCCCTGGATCACATGGCCCGTTGGGTCACATGGCCCCTGGGTCACATGGCCCCTGGATCACATGGCCCGTTGGTCACATGGCCCCTGGGTCACATGGCCCCTGGATCACATGGCCCCTTGGTCACATGGCCCCTTGGTCACATGGCCCCTGGGTCACATGGCCCCTGGATCACATGGCCCGTTGGGTCACATGGCCCCTGGGTCACATGGCCCCTGGGTCACATGGCCCCTGGGTCACATGGCCCCTGGGTCACATGGCCCCTGGATCACATGGCCCGTTGGTCGCATGGCCCCTGGGTCACATGGCCCCTGGATCACATGGCCCGTTGGTCACATGGCCCCTGGGTCACATGGCCCGTTGGTCACATGGCACCTGGGTCACATGGCCCGTGGGTCACATGGCCCCTGGATCACATGGCCCGTTGGTCACATGGCCCCTTGGTCACATGGTCCCTGGGTCACATGGCCCCTTGGTCACATGGCCCCTTGGTCACATGGCCCCTGGATCACATGGCCCGTTGGTCACATGGCCCCTGGGTCACACGGCCCCTGGGCCATACCTCGAGGCGGTCTGTGCGGGGTGCCACGTGCAGGGCCTGCAGGTGGCCCGGGGGGCCCCCCCCGCCGCCCACCGGCAGGACGACGCCGGCACCCCCGGGGGGCGGCAGGAGGTCGTGCGGGACCAGGCCCAGGCCTGGAGGCACGGGGCCCAGGTAAGGGCCGAAACCCTGGGGCCCGGCGCCCGCCCCCGGGGAGCCCAGGCCCAGACCAGCGCCGAAAGGAAAGATCTGAGGAGGAGGAGGAGGAGGCAGACAGAGAGAGACACTCACTCACTTACTCACTTACTCACCTACTCACTCACTCACCCACTCACTCACTCACTCACCCACTCACTCACTCACTCACCCACTCACTCACCCACTCACTCACTCACCCACTCACCTACTCACTCACTCACTCACCTACTCACTCACTCACTTACTCACTCACCCACTCACCCACTCACTCACCCACTCACTCACTCACCTACTCACTCACCCACTCACTCACTTACTCACTCACTCACCCACTCACTCACTCACTCACCCACTCACTCACTCACCCACTCACCCACTCACTCACTCACTCACCCACTCACTCACTCACCCACTCACCCACTCACTCACTCACCCACTCACTCACTCACTCACCTACTCACTCACTCACCTATTCACTCACTCACTTACTCACCTACTCACTCACTCACCCACTCACTCACCCACTCAACTCACCCACTCACTCATTCACTCAATCAATCACTCACTCACTCACTTACTCACTCACTCACCCACTCACTCACCCACTCACCTACTCACTCATCCACTCACTCAATCACTCACTTACTCACTCACCCACCCACCCACTCACTCACTCACCCACTCACCCACTCACTCACTCATACACTCACTCACTCACTTACCCACCCACTCAATCACTCACTCAATCACTCAATCACTCACTCACTCACTTACCCACCCACTCCATCACTCACTCACTCACCCACTCACTTAGCCACCAACTCAATCACTCACCCACCAACTCACCCACCCACTCACTCACTCACTTACCCACCCACTCAATCACTCACTCAATCACTCACCCACCCACTCAATCACTCACTCAATCACTCACTCAATCACTCACTCAATCACTCATCCACTCAATCACTCACTCAATCAATCACTCACTCACTTACCCACCCACTCAATCACTCACTCACTCACCCACCTACTCACTCACTCAATCACTCACTCATCCACTCACTCACCCACTCACTTACCCACCCATTCAATCACTCACCCACCCACGCACTCAATCACTCACTCACTTTACCCACCCACTCAATCACTCACTCACCCACCCACCCACTCAATCACTCACTCACTCACTTACCCACGCCACTCAATCATTCACTCAATCACTCACTCACTCACCCACTCACTCACCCATTCAATCACTCACCCACCCACCCATGCACTCAATCAGTCACTCACTCACTTATCCACCCACTCAATCAATCACTCACTCACCCACTCACTCATCCACCCATTCAATCACTCACCCACCCACACACTCACTCACTCATTCACTCACCCACCCACTCAGCCATCCACCCACTCACTCAGCCATCCATCCATCCACCCGCCCACCCACTCATCCATCCACCCACCCCACCCCGCCCACCCAGAAATCCCATGCACCCACTGACCCATTCACCCATTCACCCACCCACCGACTCACCCTCTCACCCACTGACCCACCCACTCACCCACCCCAGCCCACTCACCATCCCGTTGACAACACTCACCAGGGACTGCATGGGCTGACCAGGCAGTACGGCCGGTCCGGCCAGGCTGTGCATCTGCTGGGTGAGCAGCTTCTGCTGGATGAGATTGTTCCTCCCGTTGATCTCCAGCTGTGTCTTCAGGTGTGGCGGCGGGTGCAGGTACTTGCAGTTCTCCCTGGTGCAACGGCCCTGCAGGACAGATGGGACGGTGATCGCCGCTCGCTCCGAGCCGCGAGTGGGCGGGCGGGCGGGCGGGCGAGTCGGCCCATGGGCTTGTAATCACCAACACGCTGTTCCCGCATCGGCGCATCCACACAACATCGTGCACGCCGGGTCCAAGCGAGAACATCTGCTGGACTACGTAGTGACGGACCGGCGGATGCGAGCCCATGTCCTTGACACCAGGACCTACCGTGGAGCTGATGTGCCCTCTGACCATCGACTAGTCATCTGTAAGATGCGCCTGCCATTCTTCCGCTCTGGTGGTGGGTGTATACCCAGGACCCCATTCCGACCTAAAGTGGCCTGGTCTCAGTTATCTGATGAAAGTTGCAAGCGAGAATTTCATCATCGCTTGCGGCTGGGGTTGGCATCGTCCCCCACTCCTCCTGCTGTCGAGGGTAAATGGGCGAGGTTTAGGACTGTCACTCATGCAGCTGCATTGGCTGCTTTGGGTACGCGGTCCAGACCTCCCCAGAGACCCTGGCTGACAGAGGAGGTGTTCAGGATATTTGAGAAAAAGCGACAGGCCCACTGTCATGGGCTACAGAATCCCACGTGAGAGAATGAGGAGGCTTACCGCAGCCTTCGCTCGGAGGTTCGGAGAGCCGTGAGGCGCTGCAAGGATGGGTGGTGGTCGCGGGTTGCTGAGGAGATGGAGTCTGCCTCAGTGGCCCGCGATCACAAATCTCTATTTAACTCCATCAAAAAAGTAACCTGCAGTGCCACACCTATTCCCATCATTTGGGGAAAAAACGGTGATCCAATCTCCGACCCCCAGGAACAGGTTTGCAGATTTGCTGAGAATTTCTGTGAGGTCCTGGGGGAGGGAAAATCCCTCAGCCAGGAAAACATCATGGGACAAATGGGGATGACCCTGCTGAGGCTGTGGTGCCTGCGAGTGGCTGGCTGAGGTGCCATCTGTTCAGGAAGTACTGAGGGCGATCCAGAGTCTGAGACCAGGAAAGGCAGCGGGCAGAGATGATCTCCCAAGCGAAATGCTGAGGGAGGGTGGCGTTTGTGCACAGACTGCCCAATATGACATCATAACAACAGTCTGGACCACTGGACGGGTTCCGCAGGATTGGAAGGATGCCCTGGTGGTCCCCCTCTTTAAGAAGGGGGATCGCACAGACTGTAACAACTACAGGGGCATCTCACTCCTCAGTGTGCCGGGAAAGGTCCTGGCAAGGATTATTCAACATCGCCTCGCCAGGCACGCTGAGGAGAGGCTTGCGGAGCCCCAATGCGGTTTCAGGAAAGGGCGGTCCTGCACAGATGCCATATTTTCTGTCCGTCTGCTGCAGCAGAGGTGTAGGGAATTCCAGCAAGACCTACATCTCTGCTTTATTGACCTGGTCAAGGCCTATGATACCATCAGTAGGCCTATGCTCTGGGTTGTTCTTCGTGCTTTTGGAGTTCCTGACCCTCTGCTCACGATCATTAAGGACCTTCATGATGGTGAGCAGGCCCGGGTAAAACTACGTGGCCGGGAGTCAGAGCCATTCCCTGTACACCTTGGGGTGCGACAGGGATGTCCTCTGGCTCCCACATTACTTAACATCTATTTTGACCACGTAGTTCGTGAAGCCTTCAATAGCTGTACCGGGGGAATCTCCATATGGTACAGATATAATGGGAGGCTGATTGATGCCCGGGTGCGGTCAAGGGATGGCTCCCTATTGCTCAACCACGTTATGTATGCTGATGATTTGGTAATAGCTGCTCAGTCAGAGGAGGAGTTGGAGATGCTGCTGCTGAGACTGGAGCGTGCCACTAAGAGGTGGGGCCTTACCATCAGCCCCACCAAAACTAAGCACCTGCCTGGGTATTTTGTACCATCGGACACTCCACCCCCACAACTCCCAATCGGTGATGGGGCAGTTGTGGAGAGAGTGGAGAGTTTCCCATACCTGGGCAGTGTGCTTATGACTGGCTCCAGTATAACAGCAGAGGTCTCACTCCGAATCAGTCGAGCAGCAATATATTTTCATCGGTTGCGTAACGCTGTGTGGAAGCTACCTGGTCTGTCGCTCCGCACTAAGCTTCAGGTCTTCTCGGCCACGGTCATTCCCTCCCTTCTCTACGCTTGCAAAACGTGGACCCCCCTAATGGAACATCTTCGCCAGTTAGAAACATTTAGGCTGGCCTGCCTACGATCCATCCTGGGTTTAACCAGACTGGATTGTGTGAGGAGCTCACAAATCCTTGAAAGATCTGGGCAAGGTCCCATCGGTGAGCTCCTCCGGCGGGCAAGGCTGCGATGGCTGGGTCACGTAGCCCGCATGCCCAGCCACCGCATGCCGAAACAGCTTTTGTTCGGCCGGATTGAGGGGGCTAAGCGGGCGCGGCACGGGCTAGAGAAGAGATGGAGTGATGTGGTACAGGAGGACGTGGAGCTGAGTGGACTTGCCGATGACTGGTACCAGCGGTGTCAAGATCGGCCTCTGTGGAGGAGGCTCGTGAAGGACGCTACTGGGCAGTTGGAGGCAGTCGCCCTCCAACAACAACGGAGGACGGAGGAGCGACGCTCAGAACAACGAGCGGAGCGCCGGGTGGCTAAAGCACAGCAGGTTGGCACAGTAGGGGGCACAGGTGGTGCATCAGCCAGTCATCTCAGTCAGTCGACCCGTGGCACCTGGGTCTGCCCCGTGACCTCTTGCCAGCGGGCGTTCGACACTTCACGTGGCCTCAGGGTGCACATAGCCTGGCACAAGCGTCGTGGTGACGTCACCGCCACTTAATGGCGAATGGCGGTTGTTGTTGTTGTGTGTGCGAGTGCGTGTGAGTGTGTGTGAGTGTGTGAGCGAGTGTGTGAGTGTGTGTGTGAGCGAGTGTGTGAGTGCGTGAGCGAGTGTGTGTGTGTGAGTGCGTGAGTGTGTGAGTGTGTGTGAGTGCGTGAGTGCGTGAGTGTGCGAGTGTGTGAGTGTGTGTGAGTGCGTGAGTGTGTGAGTGTGTGTGTGCGAGTGTGTGTGAGTGTGAGTGCGAGTGTGCGAGTGTGTGTGAGCGCGTGCGAGTGTGTGAGTGTGTGTGAGCGCGTGAGTGTGAGTGTGTGTGTGCGAGTGTGCGAGTGTGTGCGGGCGTGCGTGCGCGGGCTCGCCTTGAGCGAGTCGAAGCAGGCGGTGACGCGGCCCCCCTCCACGTGGCACGCCGCTGAGGGGTGGGCAAAGCGGCAGTCGGCGTGGGGCCGCGTGCAAGCCCCCCGCTGGAACTCACGGCACACCTCCAGCGTGAGCCAGCGGGGGTCGCGGGCCGCGTCGCGCACCACAGCCACCGCCTGCTGCTGCTGGTGGTGCTGCTGGTGCTGGTGGTGCTGCTGCTGCTGCTGCTGGTGGTGGTGGTGGTGCGCCACCAGCGACGGAGACAGTGACGGAGACGGCACCGCCTCCATGCCCTCCTCCTCCTCCACTCCTCCTCCACTCCTCCTCCACTCCTCCTCCACTCCTCCTCCACTCCTCCTCCACTCCACCTCCACTCCACCTCCACTCACGCCACTCCGCCTCCACGCCTCCTCCTCCTCCTCCGCTCACCGCTCACCGCTCACCTAGAGGCCCCCAACTCAGTGAGGCTTGAGCGGTGGTTGAGAGAAAATGGCGATGACGGTGGTGGTGGTGGCGGCGGTGGTGGCGGTAATGGTGACGATAGTGTTGGTGATGATGATGGTCCGGCAAAAACAAGCCCCTACCTCCACGTGGTGCCGGACGGGCAACGCTGTGGTGGGCAGTGCCGTGGGCGGAGGGCCAACTGAGATTGGCCCCTCCCCTCATGGCGTCTGTGACCACCACAGTGGCTAAACGGGGGCTCTGGACGCGTGCGGGGGGCTGGTGACCCCTCCACCTTCAATAAATTACCACTAAACCACGTGAAACATATCTAATAAATAAGCTTGTGCCAGAGGCCCCGGGGGGCCCGGCGTCTATGACGTCTCCTGGCCAAACCCCAATTGGCGGAGCCAGGAGATTGAATATCTACCCTCGGGGCTCCTCCAGAAACAACAAAAAACCACTTCGTGTGGCCACGTGGAATGTTCCAACGCTCACTGCGGAGGAGAGGCTGCCACTCCTCTGTCGGGAGCTGGACCGGTACCGCCTGGATCTCTGTGGCATTCAGGAGGTCTGGTGGACCAGTTCTGGCTCCGGCCACCAAGAGGGGTGGACAGTCCTCTACTCGGGGCAGGAGACCACCAAACAACAGGGTGTGGCTCTTCTTCTGAACAAAATAATGAAGGGGGCGTGGGAGCGTGGCGGTGAAGTGTGGGAAGCTGTAAGCCCCAGGCTACTTTGGGCTCGCCTTCCAATCAACCGGAGGCGAGGAGTGGTGGTCGTGGTTACTTATGCCCCCACCGAAGACGAACATCCGTGGAGGGATGCAGGCAAGGCCGATGAGTCGGATGCCTTCTATGACCTCCTGTCACAGGTGCTGGCTAAAGTGGCCCCTCGGGATAGAGTCATCTTGTAGGGTGACTTCAATGCCCGAGTTGGTCATGATACTGGCACCTGGTCTGGAGTGATTGGAAGGCATGGGCCAGATCAGCTCAATAACAACGGTTGGAGGCTGCTAGATTTTTGTGCAGCCCATGGGCTTGTAATCACCAACACGCTGTTCCGGCATCGGCGCATCCACACAACATCATGGATGCATGCCGGGTCCAAGCAAGAACATCTGCTGGACTGCATAGTGACCGACCAGCGGATGCGAGCCCATGTCCTTGACACCAGGACCTACCGTGGAGCTGATCTGCCCTCTGAACAGAGAACCCGGAGTAAAATCCACGCGACCACCACGGGGAGACAGAAAGAAAGACACAAACTCAAAATAAACAGCAGCAGCAGCAGGCGTCAGGGTCGGGATGGTACCGCGACCTCCTGCGTACCAGGCGAGGTAGTCAACATCCGGGCACATGGGGAGCTGTAGCTGGTGACTTACACTGACAAGCCCTTGATGCAGACTTCGTGGTGACCTGGAACACAGGAAGGGTTGGGGTTTGCGCACGCCTGTTACACGCCTGTTACACACACGCGTGTTACGCACGTGTTACACACACGCACGTTACACACGCGTGTTACACACATGTTACACGCACGTTACACACACGCACGTTACGCACGCGTGTTACGCACGTGTTACACACACGCCTGTTACACACACGTGTTACACACACGCACGTTACACATACGCACGTTACGCACACGCGCGTTACACACGTTACACACGCGTGTTACACACATGTTACACACACGCACGTTACACACACGCACGTTACGCACGCGTGTTACACACATGTTACACACACGCACGTTACACACGCGTGTTACACACGTGTTACACACACGCACGTTACGCACGCGTTACGCACATGTTACACACACGCACGTTACACACGCGTGTTACACACGCGTGTGTTACGCACGTTACACACACGCACGTTACACAGAGAGAGACACACAGAGACACAGAGAGACACACAGAGAGAGACACACAGAGAGAGAGACACAGAGAGAGACACACAGAGAGAGACACACAGAGAGAGACACACAGAGAGACACACACAGAGAGACACACGCAGAGAGACACACAGTGACACACAGAGAGAGACACAGAGAGACGCACAGAGAGACACACAGAAAGACACACACAGAGAGACACAGAGAGAGAGACACACAGAGACACAGAGAGAGACAGAGAGACACACAGAGAGACACACAGAGAGACACACACAGACACAGAGAGAGACACACACAGAGACACAGAGAGAGACAGAGAGACACACAGAGACACACAAAGAGAGACACACATAGAGACACAGAGAGACAGAGAGAGAGACACAGAGAGAGACACACAGAGAGACACAGAGAGATGGACACACAGAGAGACACACAGAGAGAGACACACAGAGACACACAGAGAGACACACAGAGAGACACACACAGAGAGACACACACACAGAGACACACAGAGAGAGACACACAGAGAGACACACAGAGACACACAGAGACACACAGAGACACACACAGAAACACACAGAGAGACACAGAGACACACACAGAGAGACACACAGAGAGAGAGAGACACACAGAGACACACAGAGAGACACACACAGAGACACAGAGAGACACAAAGACACACAGAGAGACACAGAGAGACACACAGAGAGACACAGAGACACACAGAGACACACAGAGAGACACAGAGAGACACACAGAGAGACACAGAGAGACAGGCAGTGACTGACACAGCCCACTGCAGTCTTAGCCCCGCTACACCCAGCAGTGTCGTCATCATCATCAGCAGTGTCGTCATCATCATCAGCAGTGTCGTCATCATCAGCAGCAGTGTCATCATCAGCAGTGTCATCATCATCAGCAGTGTCATCATCATCAGCAGTGTCATCATCATCAGCAGCAGTGTCGTCATCATCATCAGCAGTGTCGTCATCATCATCAGCAGTGTCGTCATCATCAGCAGCAGTGTCATCATCAGCAGTGTCATCATCATCAGCAGTGTCATCATCATCAGCAGCAGTGTCGTCATCATCATCAGCAATGTCGTCAACATCATCAGCAGTGTCATCATCAGCAGTGTCATCATCATCAGCAGCAGTGTCATCATCAGCAGTGTCGTCATCATTATCAGCAGTGTCGTCATCATCAGCAGTGTCATCATCAGCAGTGTCGTCATCATCAGCAGCAGCAGTGTTATCATCATCAGCAGTGTCATCATCATCAGCAGCAGTGTCGTCATCATCATCAGCAGTGTCATCATCATCATCAGCAGTGTCATCAACATCATCAGCAGTGTCATCATCATCAGCAGTGTCGTCATCATCATCAGCAGTGTCGTCATCATCATCAGCAGTGTCGTCATCATCAGCAGTGTCGTCATCATCATCAGCAGTGCCATCATCAGCAGTGTCATCATCAGCAGTGTCATCATCATCAGCAGTGTCATCATCATCAGCAGCAGTGTCGTCATCATCAGCAGTGTCGTCATCATCAGCAGCAGTGTCGTCATCATCATCAGCAGTGTCATCATCATCAGCAGCAGTGTCATCATCATCAGCAGTGTCATCAACATCATCAGCAGTGAGTACCCTTCACACTGTAGTTGCAGCAGCATCATCATCATCAGCAGCGTCATCATCATCAGCAGCAAATAGTAAGTAAACTTCATACTGTAGTAGTAGCAGCATCATCATCATCAGCAAATACTTAATACCCTTCACACTGTAGTAGTAGCAGCATCATCATCATCAGTGTTATCATCATCATCAGTGTTATCATCATCAGTGTTATCATCATCAGCAGTGTCATCATCATCAGCAGTGTCGTCATCATCATCAGCAAATAGTAAGTAAACTTCATACTGTAGTAGTAGCAGCATCATCATCATCAGCAAAGACTTAATACCCTTCACACTGTAGTAGTAGCAGCATCATCATCAGTGTTATCATCATCAGCAGTGTCGTCATCATCATCATCAGTGTTATCATCATCAGCAGTGTCATCATCATCAGCAGTGTCGTCATCATCATCAGCAAATAGTAAGTAAACTTTACACTGTAGTAGTAGCAGCATTATCATCAGTGTTATCATCATCAGCAGTGTCATCATCATCATCAGCAGCGTCATCATCATCAGCAGCAAATAGTAAGTAAACTTCATACTGTAGTAGTAGCAGCATCATCATCATCAGCAGCAGTACCCCGTGAGAACCCTTCATGCTATCAGTATTATCAGCAGCAGGATCAGCACGAGCGGCGTGATGATCATGATCATGATGATGATCATGATCATCATCAGCAGCGCTCTTCGTGCTGCCCGTGGCGGAGGCGTCCACCACGCGGGTGGCGCTGCAGTGACGGAGTGGGCGTGGGGGTGTGGGCGTGTGTATGTGTGTGTATGTATGTGTGTATGTATGTATGTGGGTGTGTGTATGTGTGTGTGTATGTGTGGGTATGTGTGTATATGTGTGGGGGTGTGTATGTGTATGGGTGTGTGTATGTGTGTGTGTATGTATGTGTGGGTGTGTGTGTATATGTGTGGGGGGGTGTGTATGTGTGTGTGTATGTGTGCGTGTATGTATGTGTGGGTGTGTGTGTATGTGTGTGTATATGTGTGTGGGTGTGTGTCTGTGTGTCTGTGGGTGTGTGTGGTTGTGTGTGTCTATGTGTGTGGGTGTGTGTGGGTATGTGGGCCTCCCCTAGGTCGACTCAGCCTCAAATGAGTACCTGGTGCGGTGTGTAAACATTGCCACTAGGGAGACAAAGGCGGTCGGGCGTGGTGCTGCCCACCCACCCCCTTGTGTACCGTTCCAGCCTCCATAGGTGCTCGCTCACAGCACTTGCCCCTACAGTCTGTCCAGGCTATACGGGGGATCTTTTTTGTGTGTGTGGGTGTGTGTCTGTGTGGGGAGTGGTGGGTGTAGTGGTTAGCGCTACGCTGCGCTATGAACCCAGCGACCCGGGTTTGATTCCCGCTCACGGCCAGCACCGGTGACGATTATCTGAACCGGTCCTGGGCCTCCCCTAGGTCGACTCAGCCTCAAATGAGTACCTGGTGCGGTGTGTAGTAAACATCGCCACTGGGGAGACAAAGGCGGCCGGGCGTGGTGCTGGCCACCCACCCCCTCGTGTGCCTTGCCGGCCTTCATAGGTGCTGCTCGCTAACAGCACTTGCCCCTGCAGCCTGTTACAGGCTATACGGGTGATCTTTGTCTCTGTATATGTATTCGATTATAATTGTGCATGCGATACGATAGTGATTGCACAGTGTACGTACAATAGCTGTGTATGTGTCAATAATAATCATCATCATGAATAATTCTATATTATTATACAGCGTGTGTGTGTGTGGGCTTCACTCACACATTCGCGTCCAATCAGAAGCTGGAAACCCAGACAGACTTCACCATTACACTTCAGCAGGGGGGGGGGGGAAACTCCCAGACGGTCTAAACCATTAATACACGGAGGGGTGACCCTGAGGGGTTAGACCATCAACACGAGGGGTGACCCAGAGGGGTTAGACCATCACCACGAGGAGGGGTGACCCAGAGGGGTTAGACCATCACCACGAGGGGTGACCCAGACGGACTAAACCATTAATACACGGAGGGGTGACCCTGAGGGGTTAGACCATCAACACGAGGGGTGACCCAGAGGGGTTAGACCATCACCACGAGGAGGGGTGACCCAGAGGGGTTAGACCATCACCACGAGGGGTGACCCAGACGGACTAAACCATTAATACACGGAGGGGTGACCCAGAGGGGTTAGACCATCACCACGAGGGGTGACCCAGAGGGGTTAGACCATCACCACGAGGGGTGACCCAGAGGGGTTAAACTATCACCACGAGGGGTGACCCAGACGGGTTAGACCATCACCACGAGGGGTGACCCAGAGGGGTTAAACCATCACCACGAGGGGTGACCCAGAGGGGTTAAACTATCATCACAAGGGGTGACCCAGATGAGTTAGACCATCACCACGAGGAGGGGTGACCCAGAGGGGTTAGACTATCACCACGAGGAGGGGTGACCCAGAGGGGTTAGACCATCACCACGAGGGGTGACCCAGAGGGGTTAAACTATCACCACGAGGGGTGACCCAGACGGGTTAGACCATCACCACAAGGAGGGGTGACCCAGAGGGGTTAGACCATCACCACGAGGAGGGGTGACCCAGAGGGGTTAGACCATCACCACGAGGGGTGACCCAGAGGGGTTAGACCATCACCACGAGGAGGGGTGACCCAGAGGGGTTAGACCATCACCACGAGGGGTGACCCAGAGGGGTTAGACCATCACCACGAGGGGTGACCCAGAGGGGTTAGACCATCACCACGAGGGGTGACCCAGAGGGGTTAGACCATCACAACGAGGGGTGACCCAGACGGGTTAGACCATCACCACGAGGGGTGACCCAGCGGGGTTAGACCATCACCACGAGGGGTGACCCAG